CGAGGGGCGGCCGTTCCTCTGGCAGCAGCACATGCAGAGGTGCCTCGGGGCTGGCCAGGGCCGAACGGGCTCACCAGCCCAGCGCAGTGTGCTGCCGCTCGCTGAGCGGGGAGCTGGGGGCTTGGCTGGAGGGGAGAAGTTACATCAAATGGGCTGGGCATTTTTCCAGTGTGCCACTTCCATTTCCTGTTGATTCAATCTTTATTCATAGAGGCACCTACAAGGCCACGAGAGCCTGGCCTGTGGAGGTTTATCATCTCCAGTTTATTAGCAGGTCCAAGCCGAGCACTGCTGTTAGCAGTTCCTTTTCTGAAATTACCTTCCAATGGTATTTCTGAAGTGCATGCAGTTGGTGCTATCACCTGTTGAGAGCTGCCTGAAGATGCTACCTTGTCTCACTCTTCCCAGAGGCTTGTCCATGGGCTTGGTGCACCCTCCTTGATGTCCCAGTGCCACACTGAGCATTACATACAGGAATGCAAGGAGGGGATGTGTTCTCTAGTCGTGTAGCTGGGACTGCATCTGGCCTTTCCTTGAAACTTTTAAAATGCAATAGGGAAGGCCAGCATGGGGAAAGCTGAGGCAGATGGGTGGCTCTGTATCCAAATACATGGATACAGATGGAGCTTTAACAGAAACCAAAGGGCCTCTATGACTGAGTGACAGCCAGTTGGTACCTGTGGTGGATTAGGATCCTTAACTAATAAAGCAACACCTATTTATTTGCTTGTTTTGTTATTTTACTTTCTAAGTTTGAGTAGTGACTGGTTCGGATTCTGCCTGTCACAGCCTGTTAAGTTTTGTGAATTAACTCTGTATCCCAGTAAGTTGTATTTGGCTGCAGCAGAGTTTCCAAGAAGCGGTCTGTGAAGCATTTGTAATTTCTGCTGGCAGCACTGGCCCTGCAGAGCTAACGCTGATGGGCGTTAGCCTCATTTTCACAGTTCTCTCTTTATTGGGAGCCTACTGAAACCCACTGAAATAAGCAAATTGATTGTTTTAAGAGGCCCCTTGCGGACAGATCTGCAGAGTGGTAATTTCATCCTGAAGTGCTTTTCTCTCAGTCGTTACTAAGAGTCAGACACAGCAGTATGCGGCGGGGATCTCATGTAACCGCGCATTCGCTTCTTTTGCCGTCCGCCTCTGAAGATCTTACAGGCCCTTGGGAAGTCCTACCACCCCGGCTGCTTCCGCTGCGTGGTGTGCAACGAGTGTTTGGACGGAGTCCCCTTCACCGTGGATGTGGAGAACAACATCTACTGTGTCAAAGACTACCATACGTGAGTATGCAAATCCATTGCATGCTTGGAATAATTCTCGTAGGTAAACTGTTGGTATAGTTACAAGCTTTGTGGTAGATAAAAAAGGTCATTCCTATTTGCTCAGATGCTCCTCAAGTGCTGCTCTCACGTGTTACACTTGTAAAGTGTTTTAAAGTAATATTAAAGGTCATTTCATGGGCCCCATGTGGCATACAGTGGCCAGGTGAGGTTGGAAATCAAGTTGTGTCAGAGGGCGTACTTCTCTGGTTGCCGTTTCCCGACTTCTTTCAGGACTTTCAATCTAATTAGATGAAGCTAATTCTGCAAGTGCTGATACGTTCTGCTCGCTGCTTCTAAGAGTTGAGGTTCTAGTAAGTGTATGATACTGTTGAGTGCAAGTTAGGTTAACCTAGGCTGGACAGTAGCATGTAATTAGCAGCTAGTGTTAGAATAATTTTAGCCTCACATGGCAAAAAAAAATTGTGGTTTACATGATTGCTTTTGGACTTCTTTCTGCTCCTGCTCAAAGGCAATATAATGCTCTTAGCTCCAGTTAACCAGTAAGTCAGCTTATGGAGCAAGAGTAAGTCACTCCGAACTCAACACCACCGGTACCAAGCTGCCCGTGTTAGGACAGGGTGAATGTTGGCCCGCGTAGGATCGGATGGCTGTACAATGCAGCTGTGTGTAGTCAGACCAGCTGATGTATTTGGTTTAAGCAGATCCTAGCCACAATCAACCCCTCCTATTTAGCATGGTTATGTCTTCTTGAGGTCAGATGGTGACAGTCTCCAAGTCAGGAGCTGCTTTGCAGTCAAAGCAGCGAGTCTCTGGAAGAATTTGAATGGCTTTCTGAGTAAAGGAAGGTAAGAGAAAGGTCATGTGTGGGAAGAGGGCTGGATTCACTATGGAGGTCAGGAAGACCTCAGTGATAAAGGTGGGGTACATCAGCAATGTCCTTTTTTCTGAATATCCACCAGCATTTAGAGGTGTTTAAAAGCCTGTGGATCTACATTTTGCTAAAAACAAGGTGTAATTAGAATAGATCTTTGTTCTACTTCTTGAAGAAACTTTAAATGTGATTTGAACACTTTCTTCTTGTACCCTAGGGTTTTTGCACCAAAATGCGCTTCCTGTAACCAGCCGATCCTCCCAGCACAGGTAGGTGTGAACGTGCCCTGTCTCTTCAGAGAACAGCTGCTGCCATATGAACACTTCCTAAAAACACATTAGATGTTTTTCCTCCCTCCCTCTTCTAGAATCTATACCATGTCAGATACTAAATTAAATACAGTTCAGCAGTAATGTCACTCCCAAACATTCCCAGAGGTTGTAATAGTCATACTACTTATGCAGCAGTACTTTGTATCTTTAGGGTGCTTTCCAGATCTTAATTATGCTGTTATAAATCTCATTTAATTGAATGCCCTGACTGGGGCTCCAAGAACAACCCGAGAAGTAAAGTCCTGTTTATTTTTAGAATCTCCCATTAGCTCAAGTAGCAATTTTCCTTGTCTGCTTCGTTTGCATTTCTGATGTGGATCCGTTAAGATGTCCAAACTTCGAAGGAAATGTGAGGGTTACCCTGACCCTGTGAAAAGGCCACGCAGTCTGCTGTCCTGGGGTGGTAACATAATGAAAGTGCTTAAAGGGGTGGAAGAGGCAGCAGCAAAGTTGACTAAAAGGGAAGCCAGGTGAATGACCTGCTTGCAACCTCAGCCTGTCCTGACAGTGCAGTTAGCACAGTAAGACTCCTGCATTAAGACATCTCGTTTCTGCCTGCCCTCAGTGGTGCTCCCTCCCTGCTCCAGTGGGTGCAGGACCTTCTGAGTTCCCATTGCTGAGGTCACTGACAGGCTCATTTGCAAGCAAGGGCCTCAGCGTCTCCTTCCTTTTCCTCTCGGCACATTCAGAGCCAGAGCTTGCACCCTACAAGCTGCTGTGCCCCAGTCAAGCCTGTGGCTAGAGCCTCTCAGCACGTCTGCCCCATCTCTCTGCATGTAACTATTTGTTATTATTGGTTCTGTTAAATGGCCCAGGCTCACGTCATTAAGAACCTTATGAAGGCTCAACCAAAACTGTTTGTCCTGGTGATGGGATGTGAGAAGAGAACCCATATGTACATTTCACTGGATCTGTATCTTACCAAATGACTTTTTAAAGAAAAAAAAGTGAGAAGAAAAGAAAAGGGGGAAAAAAAAAAGCAGTTCTACTGCTGACTCATCTTATGGCTTGCAGGATAGACTCCACATTCTTTCCCATGGAGGTTTCTTACGTTAGTTCAAGTGTAGCAGTGCAGGTACTAACTTGTCCACAGCTTCTCTCAGACATAGCCTACGTCATAGCTAATGCTCTAACCACGCCTGGAACTGGAAACAATGCAAGGCAACAAATTTAATGAGCTCTGTCTTCAGAGGCTTCAGACTAAATCAGGGAAAGA